ATTTCCGAATCGTGGAATTAAAAGAGATCTTAAACTGAACAAAATGGCTGTTATGGTGAGTTGCTGAGTACGCAAGTTTGGAGGAGAAGAGCCTGGTCGACAAAGAGGGAGGAGGGAGAAGACATTGTATCAATTTATTACTATCTTCTTTTTCTTCTTCTTCTGTGTGGTTGCTTGACATAATTTCTGTCGTTTAGGACTTATCATTCATTGGGCATTGCAAGTATTTGCATGATGTTGAAGTTGTTAGCTGCAGGAGTCCAGCCCATTATAATACTTCATGCAAGGTGCTGCTGACACTCTTAACTGACCCTCATCCAATGCCAATCTTCCCCTTACAGCGAAGTGCCCGTAAGCAGGTCATCCGTTGACTGAGCAACCCCGATTCCACCAGGTCTAGAGTTTCCTATCGACCACTGAGAAAGGCCAGTGCAAATTTCTGTGGTTAGACTGAAGAGTCTGTGATGACCCACTCCCGATCCCCATGGCCAGCTGCCAAGCTGGCTCTTCCTTTATGCCGTACTCCGTTCAACAATGGAGGTCATTATCATCATCCCTTATACAAAGAAATACAAGATATTGTCCTTTGGGACATCCGTTAAAATTGGAACGATACAGAGAAGATTAGCATGGCCCCTGTGCAAGGTTGACACGCAGAAATCGAGAAATGGTCTAAATAAAAAAAAAAAGAAAAAAAAAAAGAAAAAAAAAAAGAAAAAAAAAAAGAAATACAAGATATTGCTTGGAGCTTCACCAGCAGCTTGACTTCTCAGCTGTCAGCTAAGGCTGTCAAATCTACTCCCACCCTGGTCCTGCTGTGTCGTCCTCCATTACCTATTACTTTCCACCCGCTTGTTCCTCTCCTTTCAATTGGTTGGTTTTCCCCGATAGTTGCCCCCCGCCTTGTTCTATATTAAACCCTAAACCCTTGCCCTCCGCTGCCGCTGCCTGCGTCTGGACGCTTGAGGTTCTTCTACCTAGCCTTGCTGAGTTTGCTCAGAGAGGGCTGTACCCTATCTTGACATCCTTGCCTTTCATGTCTTTGACTCAAAAGATCAGGGCTCTTAATTTTGATGTAATTGTGATCGTGGGTGGAGTGCCCCTTGTGTGCTTTGAAGCTGAATGTTATCGCATGTGATTGGCTATTCTGTGCCATGATATGAACATTGCCGAATTGAATGAGTGGGTTGATTCTGTGATGTTCTTATCCGGCAGAGCTGTACAGTTCTATAGAGAACTTCAGCAGCTGTATTGGCATAGAACAGCAGTCCTTACAACTCTCGTCATCGTGAAGATCCTGCAGGCTGATAGTATGTTAGCTTTTGGGAAGGACTGTAAACATCTTAAGCCTGAAAGTTTAACCCCCAGTCATGGAAACTGGTGAGCCTTATGCATCCGACAAATTCCGCGGCCAAGACACAGCACTGCAGGATCGTCACATGGAGCTTGCCTCATTTATTGCTGAAGCATTCAATTGGGCTGAAGATGGAGGTACTGAAGAGAAGTTCACTCAAACTGTCAAGGACCTCCTGCAACAGTGGGTGTCCAGATATAATACTGGCACACTAAATATACCCACTGATAAAGAGCTGTGGAGCTTGTGGCCCTGTATCACAAACAGAGTAATTCATAACATGGGTGAGGTGTTCGAGTTACATCTTGGAAATATCATGCCCGATTGGCTGCCTGGCGTTGTGGGTTGGTCAGAAGAAGACATTGAAGCCCTGCTGAAAGATTTTATGTGCTTGCTGGAAAGAACCTTGTTGTCAAGTGGCGAGGACTCTATGCCCCGCTTGAAGAAAATCTCCATAAATGGTGCTCTTGGGTTTGGACAAGATCTAAGCTTTTTCAGAGTCCTACTTTCTTTCCTGCAGCAGTCTAGCTGTCATGTCCAGGAACTTACAGTGAAGGGGGCAGTTGGATTAGACGATACACGACGTCTGGAGCTGCTCGGCAACGGGCTCCCGCACTACCGTTCACTGAGCAAACTACAGGTCGGGGAATTCAAAACGGAACTCCCTGATGACATTGCTACTACCCTCGCTGAAGGTGTCGTGGCGAATGCAAGTTTATGGAAATGTTCTATTGACTGTCGCCTTCCCAAGAATGCGATCATGGTGCTGGCAAAAGGTCTGGCTTCGGCGAATGAAAGATTTTGTCATATTGCTACAGCTTGTCCAGGCACGTCCAGGTTGTTGGCAGCGGATGAGAATGGTGCTTCTGGATCATCCTTGGAAATAGAAAATGCACTGGTACCAGGGAGCGGGAGGCAGGCACAAAGTAGGCCTCGACTTGGAGTCCTCTTTATAATCCCAATCGCCATTGACAAGGAACAAGCAGAGGCTCTTGCAGAGATGCTCAACACAAACAACAGTCTTCGCGTCCTCCGATTATGGGCCACTTTTGATACCGAGGAATTCATAACACTTCAGAAAGGCTTGCGGGCCAACACTTGTTTAGAATGTCTTATAGTAACTTATTGCCTTCCATTCTGGAATGCCAATGAGAGAGCTGAGATACTCTCCACTTTGAATTACAACAAGACGCTTCGTAAATTTGATTTCACTGTGCTTTCTGATCCGATAATTATCGATAAGTTGAATCAAAACAAACGAGAATGGGAGTTACTACAAGCTGTTGGAGCGTCTCAGTACACAGCCAGCAAACACATCAGATGCTTTCTTGCAGGTGATCCTTATGCAGGGAAGTCCACCCTCAGAGATTCCTTTAGCTCTGGAATATTTTGGTCTGGAATAAAGACTATGATGAGGACTATGCCGATTGTTCCAACGGAAGCCATGCCCCGAACAAAGGGCATCGAAGTGGTTCAGATGGAGAAGGAGGGGGTGCATATCCAGCTCTGGGACTTGGGTGGACAAACAGAGTACCATTCCATCCATGATCTGTTAATGCCAACCCTTGGTGGCGATAGGGCTGCACCCAACATCTTCTTGCTCATGTGCAATCCAGTGATGCCTTCAGAAATGCGGAAACCTGCTGGCTTCAGTACAAACACTTTGGCTACCAAAGGGAAACAACATGCCATTGGATGGAAAGATCAGCTCGAGTCGAGACTCAGGTATTGGTTAAGGTTCATTGCGGCAAATTGCAGCCCAGCAAGACAACCATGCGTAATCTTGGTCTTCAATCCTCACCACCCTCACAAGTTGGACCGTACTGCTTTGTCCATACGAGTTCGTGAGCTTTTGCATTGGATGTCAACAGAATTCAGAGGTCTGTTGGAAATCAGTACGGAGGAATTTATGATTGATGCAAGAGAGTGGACAGGTGCCACAAGGGTGAAGGATTTTTTGTTCATCAAGGCGAGTGAACTCCTTCAGAAAACTAATGTTCTTGAAGTAATGGAGAGAGCTCATAGTCAGATCATCAATTTCAGGGAATCGGTTGGTAAGGACGTCCCTCTTATTTCCTGGAGCCAGTTTCATACAGTTTGCCCGTTTGGAAACTTGGAGGCCAATGCTACTCAACAAGGACCAGCTACAGCTGATCAAGGCAGTACCCTGATAGAGAACGGGTCTGACGGCTCCGACCTCTGGGAACTTACAGCTCACTATCTTCATGACATTGGGCAGGTCATTTGGTTTGACCCAATGCCTTTTGTGGTTTTAAGTCCACACTGGTTTTGCTGCAAGATCGTGGGGGAGATCATTCCGACGGAGTTCTATAGTTCTGGAGTCCATGATGGAGTTGCCAAAGAGGATCTTATGAAACGTGTGCTGGGACGAGCACTCCCACCGACGTTGGAAGCCAGCCTCCAAAACTTGATTGATTTAATGGTTAGGATGAAGATTGCCTACAAGATCTCTGACACCAGCCTAATGATACCAGCCTGCCTTCCTGAGCGGCAAGAAGGTGAGGGCCTTCATTGGGAAAGCATGCCGAGCGGTTCAGAACAACTCCAAGGCAATTACTTCGGATTCCGAATAGCTTGCAAAGACAAGGATAGGTTGATGTTAACAGCAGGATTTTTCCATCGACTGCAGGTAATGTCTCCAGGTCGTCAAGGCCTTCTCTCCTTCTCAACCCCTGCTTTCTTTTCCTTTTTTTTAGGTTTTTGCCACTTTTTGGAAAACATTTTTTTGGCTTAATGCTTAAAACCAGGTTCAGCATCCCTAACTCTTTTTTTTTTCTTTGCTTCTTCTTTTTTTTTTTTTTTTTTTTTCCCCTTTTCGAAGTGAAGCTGACGGTTCAGGCTCCTTTTCCATTCGGGGGAGCATCAGTCCGGTTCTTATTCCACCGGCAAGTCAAAAGGAATTACAACGAATACTCGCACACTCTTCTCCCCACTATGGTTGGGACTCGGGAGGCCCGAGTGGACGGCATTGATTGCTTCCTGAAGGAATGATGCACCACCCTTTACCCCTGCCTAAGTTAGCCTATTAGTCTAGCTCCTGAACTTGCCCTGGTTTCCACCCTCTAAACCCTGACTGGGCCTGATACTATCTTTGAGCCTACTGCGGCTTTTCTGATACCTGCTGTCTGCTATTGCCTTGATCTAGCCTGTTACCATTGCTGTAACCTTCCTTTACTCGAGAAGGTTCCCGCCTACTGCTTAGTCCTGGTGTTGTTGTGCTCCTCTCAGCTACCCCCGCTGCCTGAAGTGCTTTCAAAGCTAGAGAACAGCAACACCTGTTATTTTCTGAGAGTTTCCCCTCTCTTTTTTCTGGGGAGCTCTGGATACCTAAAACCCTAAACCCTTGGTTGTTCTACTGTTGTTTCTTGTTGCCTGGTGATTCAGGAAAGCTGCTTGAGGTGTTGTTGGGGTGGGTGGAGGGGGGGGCTGGAGTCTGTGGGTAGTGGGTGGATATAAGAGTCTGTGGGTAGTGGGTGGATGTAAGACTGATGAAGGATTATGCTGTGTGATGGGGGATGGTAGTAGTTATGGGATGGTATAGTTAGTCCAATGCTTGATTGGGGCGGATTGCAGGGTTCTTTTGTGTGTGTGTGTGGGGGGGGGAAGTGGAAGGTGGTGAGGTGGGGGATTGGGTGGGCCTGTGAGATGAGTGTTTTGCTGAATAAAGGGTTGTTATTAGAAAGGCGTTGGGTGCTAGGTTTGGGTGTGCGTGTGGTGGGGACTGCGATGTTAGTGCATGGTTAGCAGTGTTGTTATTGAATGAGGGGGGGAGGATTAGTCTAACATCGTTCTAACTCAAAGGTGACATGAACATTTTTTTCTATTTTGGACTTGTCATCTTGTGACCCTTCTGTACTTGCGGCCCCCTTTGTCTTCGATATTGCCATTTGCTCTATCCTGCGGTTCGTTGAGGGCAGTTTCTATCATGATGTTGTGTGGGTCTGTCGTGGTGGTGTTCGGATTTATATTTTTTTCTTAAAAAAAAAATACAGCTCCTCATATGGGGGACAGTTGTATTTTTTGACCTACCCTATTATCTTCTCTCAAATGTATCTCACACTTTTTATGACCCTGGCCAATTCCGAAGTACAAATTCACGAGAAAGCACAATGCCGCCCAATTGCAAAAGAAATGAATGAACTTGAGAGGCGAGAGGATAAGAAGAAGCAGAAGAAAGTAAGAAGAAGAACAAGAAGATGTACACCAGCAAAGACCAATGGTAACTTCCCTCCTTCTCGCCAACCAATCCCTCCTTCCTTGCTCCATCCACCTCTCTCATTCAAACAACAATATGATAATAATGACTGAATGGCAGCACCAGAATCAATGTCCGAGTTCCTCTTCTACTGCAGGTACGACATGAGGTCCACCATAGCCATGACCGCCTTCTCCTTCCTCTTCATGAAGGCCGAGGCTATGGCGGACTACTAGGGCCTTGCCCTCCTGTGCAAAAGACAATGCAAAGCAGCTATGGCTGCTTGTACTCAGGCCGCCGTGCCTGACTCAGCCTCGAAGCTTCTTGCTGCAGCTCTACCCCCACTGGGCCTTCCAGGTGCAGCATCCACCTCGGTGTTGAAGATGCGTCCACCATAGCCAGGTAAGTACCCCTGGCGCTCTCCTTCTCCTTGTCCCCCTTCTTCCTCCCCCTCCTACCTGCGCTCTTCCACCATAGCTATGGTGGAGAGCTGGGCGCTCCTCCTGCCCCAAGCGGTGCTCTTGCAGCTCGACCGGTCGCTCCAGCAGCGTGTTGCCAAACTTGCACGCCAACAAATGAGGATGAGCTCTTGGCTCAGCCCGAAGATATAGCGGCCTGCTTGCCGCTTGGGCGGTGACTTCCAGGCCGCTCGGCTTCCCAACCAACCGGTACCTCCTCCGTTTCGGAGGGAAACATCATTGCAGACTTTGATATTGCCCGTACAGGCCCTAGACTCAGGGTACTTGGACTGGTACCGGCCTACACCTAGCCTACACCACTCGGCCTAAAAAATGCCAACTTTTTTCGACCTTGAGTACCCGACACGTCTCCCTTTTCACACGACGGTACCGGCCTACCTGCTACTCGAGTGTTTTTCCATGCTGCTCTAGGTGCCACGGGCCTCTCTCCGCCACTTGAGTGTTTCCCTGCTGCAATCCCTCACGGTCATAGCCACAGGTAAGCACCAGCCCTGGGGGCCCCTCAGCAAGCAAGTACCATTCCGTTCACACACACACTCAAGTCGGCAAGCACTCAGACAGGCACACAGGCCAGCAAACACGCACACACACAGACTTGGAAAGCTCAGCAGGACACGGGAAACTCAGCAAGGCATTCATTCCAGTGGAAAAACTCAGAAATCAGCTGTGGTCTCAGCCCGTGTTTGTGCAGGTCCTTACCTACTAGTTAAATTCGGGGTCCAGCTACTAGTCCTACACATTTGCTTGGCAAGGAAAGTTTAAATACACTAAGTAAGCCTAAGCTATCCTGTCGTTATGGCTCTAGAGGCAGACAATGGCGTATCTATCTAACTCTGCTCTGTGCGGGGGAGAAGCACCCATGCTTCTAAAACCTGGCATTAGGTTGGAAAGCCACTAACAACTTCAACAACCTGCCAGGAGGGACAAACCGACTATCTCAGTCGGTGAACCCGCAGTATGCCACACAGGGGTTGTGGGGTTCGGATTTAGATTGTGCTGAGTAGCAAAATTTTCATTACCAATCTATTTCCTTCTATCATTCCCAGGTTGCCTCCTCCTAGTTTGGTTGCCGTGAATATTTTGATGAATTCTGTTTTTTTGCAAGGCAGGGCTGGGAACCGGAAGGTTCGGCTTGCCCGGACCAACCGGCACCGGACTGGCCCCGGGGGGGTGAACCGGGAAACCGGTTAAAAGAAAATGCCATTTTTTTTTTTTTCCTTGGCGGATTCAGACTGCTGCAAGGAATATGAGTGGGAACGATATACAGAAAGCCAAGTTGCGAGATCACACAGATGTCCAAGTAGTCGTGTACAAGCAAAGAGCACAAATGCACCGAGATTCCGTCCAATTAAGAGCAATACAATGAACTCATGAGCCAATGTTCAAACCCTCAGGCCACACCAACACACTATCCAATGTCGCTCCTCTCTGTCTGGCGCCCCAGCGCCCAGCCTACACTACTTGCCTATCCTACTACATCCGCATTCACGCAACAGGCTCACTTCGACTTTGAAGACCACTGTACATGACGTCAACACCATAGTCGACCTCCTTCATGCACCAGGTACGTATCTTGTCTCCCCTCATCAGACCCTGACCACCCGCACTGTCCTCCTTCCTGAAGACCACCGATCACCCTCTTAACCCCCAGCGCCCAGCAGCCCGGCTATGGCTGCTTGCGCTCCGCTGCCCAGCAGCGCCCCTCTCATGTCACATGCACCCGCATGCGCCCTGGCCTCGCAGCACGCAGCCTCTAATGCAGCAGTTCAGCAGCGTGGCCGCATTGCCTGCGTGGGCCAGAATGCCAGACCCTGGCTGCCACGCTTCCTATATGGAAGTTGCAGCCCGTGTCTGGCTGCGTGTGGCCTGGCTGGGAAGCTTCCAGTAGCTTCCGGTCAGGCCCCAGTGTCTGCGACTCTGCGCCCAGGCCCAGCTTCTTCAGTTGAGGGCCTGGGACCTTTTCGGTTGGGCACGCCCAGGACTTCCAGACGTGGGCCGTTTGCTGTATCTGCACAGGCCTCCGGGCACTTACATCGGCAATGCTTCTTTTTCGTAGGCCCTTGGCCGTTTCGTGAGGTATCTGCCTCGCAATGTGGAGCCCAGGTGCAACTACCTGGTGCAGGGAGGCTCACACGTCCATATAACCAACTGGCGTGCGGCAACTGTCTGAGTACCCACATATGGAAAATGTCAAGTTTTGGCCGCTTGTGAATATTCAGGCCCGCCTTCACTTAGGGCGGGCACGGGGCTTACTGAGGGCCTCCGCCAAATCATGTGCATGTCTGATAAGGGCCCCACGAGGGCTCATTCCTCGCACTGCGCTTTCCGAGATCTGTCCAAATCCGCTATAAAGTTTTGAAGGTCCGATTTTTTTTGGGGTTGTTCCCAAGGGGGGGGGGAAGGGGGGGGGGTATCACGGTGATGATCAGGTATGGCTTTCAGGGGGAGGGTGGTATTCACTGGATGATCAGGTATGGCTTTCAGGGGGAGGGGTCGAGTAATCAAGCTTACTCGTCTGACCCCTCGGTGGCCCTGAAATTGCAGTTCAGTACCATAGGGCCACCATATATCAGTACCCCAGAGCCTGAACGAGAGATCCTGGGAGCAGGTCCTTGCCAAAACTTACAGCTCTTCCAGAGTATAGCTCGACAGCGAAAAAGTTATGGGTTTAGGTCTCAGCTTGTGCAGGCAGAGCGTTCTCTGTTTTTTTTCCTTTTTAACATACGTCAGTCGGAAAGTATCTTGCTGGCACTCTGTCCAGATACATGTAGTGGGGCAGGTCCATTCTTGGGATTGCACCTCGGACAGCATTGTTACTCTGACTGCACGAGCTGAAACCCAAACCCATATCGCTTTCCCCAGATCGTAGGGACGTTGCAGAAGCATATAAGCTCAGCAAAGCCGCATAAACAGCAGTCTGCTTTTCTCCTGGCTCAGGGTGGACGAGCATTAGGG